AACTCACAGCAATATGAAAACACCTGGCAAATCAAAGCCAGGCACAATAAGAATAGATACACTCAATCCCGTCAGGGTCGTGTTCTCTAACAGAGTTCTCCTCTATAAGCCTGGACTCTGGAAAACTGTAGTCACCTTGGGGAGTGAGGAGCTGGAATTTGAGGGTACTGGCCCTATTGTTTTTCCGCTTCCACTGTTAGCAGTTTACTGTATCTTCTTTATAACCCCTTTCCCCTCTATGCGTCTTTCTGTTTTCACACACATCTCTGCTTTTTTATCTGGTACCTACAGTCCAGGGAGGGGGAAGCATTCTTTCAATACAGCCGACGTGCTTTTGAGATCACTGCCCTCATGGAGATTCCTTCACAACACATCCTGCCCACCCGGACACGTGGCACTGCACCCCGGATTCCTACCTCTGCACTGCGGCTGGCCTGGCTCCTCGCCTAGGTGGTGGCAGTCAGTACAGCTGGCTCTTCCAGTCCTGGCGGGGCGCTGTCGACGGTTGGCCAGGCCCTCAGGGCTTGCTGGTGCGCTTCCCCCGCTCAGCCAGCTTTGGCAGCCCTGGTCCACCCGAGAGCTACAGCTGGAGGATCCTAGGATCCAGCCTCTCCCATACGGAGCTGAGCAGAGGCGGGGCATAAACGGTGTCCACGTAAAGACACTATGTCCTTCCAGGTCCCTGGAATTGGGAGCAGGCGCTCGGGAAACCCCCTTTGGGACTCTGAACCCTGAAATCAAGAAGTAAGCCGACTAGAGAGAGCCTAGAACCTTCTCCCTTGTACAGGCTTCCGTCAGCCCTCATCCTGCGGAGATGCTTGGCCACACCCATCCCCTCCTTGGGCTGGAGCAGCCAGCAGTGGACTTGGTTTCCCTGTCCTACTACTCTTTTCTCTTGCAGTGACGGCTAAAGGGGACTGGGTCCCGGAACTTTTCTGCACCTGTCTGGGTCTCTTGCCCCCATGGCCAGGCCTTGGGACAGCTCTGTCCTCAATGGGCTTACCAGCAGTAACACAGCTGGGGCAGGAGCCTGCTTGGTAGACTCCCGAAAGACCTGATTCTCAGCGTGCACAGCAGCAGGCACAGCCTAAGCCACTTTTATCTGGGTCATCTCTTGAATTTTTCCAAGCGAAAACGATTGGCAGCTGAGTGTTTGTGGCCATTCGCTGATTTGTTTCTTATTTGTACGTTTTACTGTAGATTCTAAACTTTTTGAGCGGTCCACTCAAGGAGGAAACTGACCTGCCTGCCCCCAGTCCACTCCAGGTGGGTTCTGCTTGTGGTGTTAGTTCTGAGGTTAGACTAGGGATAGCCTACTTCTGATGCATGAGATCAGGCTTTGAAAGAACCTGATCTGACTGGCCAGTGAGAACTTACTCCTCCTTCCACCCCTGCCTACTCACCTCCTAAGCCCAGTGTGGCATAAGTCGCTGTACAGAGTGTTTATGCACAGATTTGGGGATCCTGCCCACCCAGCCAGAAGCCAGCTAGAAATTTACCATTTATCATTCTCTCTAACTTAGTGACAGACAGCAGAGCCCCAGAGAGACAGCTTACATGACCTAAGGGGTCTTGGGTAGTAAGAAGGCCCAAGAGGGTAGGGTAGGCGGGATTCCTCTAGGCTTGCAGGACAGTTATAGAGCAGTGTCTTTGGAACTAGCATCTCCCCCGGGGGGCGGGTGAATGATGCTGCCTTGGTCAAAGATTTTCACTCTCTGATGTTCCTGGCTCTGTAACCCCAGAGATGACGGAAATCCTTTAACAAAGTAGTGGGAGCTATTTATATTTGGAGTATACAGGCTCCCAGAGTGGGGCAGGGGGCTGGAAAGGCTGATCCAGGCTAGCTTTAAGTATCTTAAGACACGCAAACCACAAGGAAATCAGCACACAGGCCCAGCTGTGCTTCCTCTTTGAGGGCTGCATTCCTCTTAGAACCTAAGAGGATGCAGACTCAAGGAAGACTAACTGGACAGGAGGAAGCCGGCAGGGAAGGTGAGGGTCTGGCCTAGGAACATGGAGATCCACAGCCCAGGAGGATGCCAGACTGGGTGTCTGGGGCGGTGGGGGCGGGGTAGGGATAGCTACCTAGGAAACCCCAGAAGAGCAAGGGCCATTGCTCCTAGAGACCTCAGCTCCTCCAGCACAGGCTCCATCATGGGACTCAGCAGCCTGAGCCTGGCTCATCTGTCACTATCACCACCTAGTGAGCTGCAGAGGAATCCCATGACTTTGCAGACCCCACAGTTCCTTATTTTCAAGTCCTCCTCAACCCTCAGATTGTGTGGTGTCAGGGTCATCACCAAGGCTCCTAGCCTATACTTTGAGCTGTAGGAAGAAGTGTGATGTCTAAGGGGAGAGAGACTTTCCTGGAAGCACAGTGCCTTGTTATACAGAAAGTAGAACCAGGTACCAGTGTTTTGGGATGAGCTGTCAGGTGTCTTCCCCAGGCATAAGTAAGCCATGAGGCCCCCTTTGCATTTCCCTCACAGCCAAAACCAAGATCACAGCTTGACGCCACCAGGGCCACCTGCTTGGCTGTGGAGCACCAAAGAAAGGGCTGGTGAAGGAGCCTACGTATAGACCTCTCATAGTTCATGAATCTTACTGTAATGTCTGTGTCAGTGATGCCAGCTTGGGACTCCATGACCTCATTACGTTGAAGGAGAGAGACAAATAAATCTTCACTCCACATAACATCATAATACTGGAAAGTACCTAAGACTCTGGTGGCATGGATTGGGGTATGATCACCACCATTTAAAGGGTTCAGGAAAGAAGCTTGGCCTTGAAGCTGGAATTTACCAGAAAGATGGGGATTGAAGATGTCCCAGATAGAGCTGGAGAGATGGCTCAGTGCTCTTCTGGAGGTTCTGAGTTCAATTCCCAGCAACCACATGGTAGCTCACAACCATTCATAATGGGATCTGATGCCCTCTTCTGTCATGCATGCATACATGCAAGCAAATGGAATATATATATATGTATATATATGTATATATATACATATATATATAT